GAGGGTGCGGTGCCGGCGGGAGGAGCGAGCGGGGTTGTGGGGAGGGGCCGGGGGGCCCGCGGGGCGTTCCGAGCAGCGGGTCCGCGCCGCCGCCACCGGAGACCCTCTCCCGCCCGGAGGCCTGCCTGCCTGAGGGGGGTTCCCTCACCGGCCGCCATGTCGGGCCCTCGGGCCTTAGCGCTGCCCGGAGCAACGCGCGCCGCCCCCGGGGCCGGCCGGGCCGCGCTGAGGAGATCCGTGCGGCGCCCGGGCTCCGCGGGGTGACGGCAGCGCACCGGGCGCTCCGGAGGGCGGGGATGGCGGCTCGTCCCGCGGGAGGGACGGGCACAGGGCGCGGGGCCGCACGGCTGGGTGGTGTGCACGGAGCGGGGCTGGTTTCGGTGAGTGCCGCAGCACTCACGGTACCCTCGGCAGCCGGGAATGCCCAGGGACAGTGCGGTCCCGTCGGGAATGGCCCGGCGGGGCGGCGGAGGGGGGCGGGGCCGGGGTGGTCTCTGCCGGTCCCCGGAGGGTACCAGGCCGCTTCCGCGTCCACCCGAATCAGGCAACGTGCTTCTTCATCCTCTGCAGCACAGCCAGAGCAAAGGGGCCTAAATTGAAGTTTTAAAAGTAATTTATGATCCCAGATGCTCCAACTGAAAGGTGCGGCGGTTGGTTTTGCAGGGGCTCTTTTAAACGGACTATTCTTTACATCTTTATTTAGTTTGGCTGATGACGCCCTAGAGCAGAACTGATCTACCATAGGTTCAAGATCCATTTTTTTAAAACGGTCATTGTCTTTGACAGCTCCTTTTTGCCTTTCAGACATGGCCATGCCCAGTTCCCTCCTGTGGGCTGTTGACATTTTCGGGAGGGTTTACACTCTCTCCACTGTTAGCCAGTACTGGGAGCTCTGTAAGGACACGCAGCTGGAGTTCAAACGGGTCTCTGCTGCCAAACAGTGCTGCTGGGGAATAGCCTGCGACCACCAGGTCTACACCTACGTCTTCTCGGGTGATGTTCCCATTAGATACCAGGAGGAGACCTATGAGAATCAGGTATGAAGTGTCACGGGGGCCTCTGTCACACTGCCACATACGCAGCAGAAAAGAGTGACAGGAAATCCTTCTCTAAGTGTGTTTCTCACAGGAAGATAGCTTGGGTTTATTTGGTTTCATTTTTTACCCGTTGTTTCTGAGGAGTATATGTGTGCCAAATAGCAGGTTATTCTTTTAATATTTTAATTCCCAAAGGAAGGTTATACTTCCCTGCCGTTACCAGAGGCAAGGCCAGTGTGCACTATGGCCTGTTTTGCGTGAGCCATTTCAGTCTGGAATATTCATCCTTTTCACTTGATGTTTTCCTTTCCTTACTGACAAATACCCAATCCTCGTAAGAAAATGTCCAGTGTAACTTTTAGGCAACAGAAGTACATTATCATGTTCTTTAAAAAATGCAAAACTTTAAAATTTCTTCTATTTGTTATTTTAAAACCTTTTTGTTTCATAGCCTTCTAGGCTATGAAAAAATGGAAACCAAAATACTAGAAAGCACAAAAGGAAATACTCTGTAAGAGCTAACAGTAACAAAATTAAACTCCGATACTTTACAGATAGTGTGCAAAGAAATTTAGCCAGATTCCTAGTAAAAGTAAATAATATTTTGTATAAAAATTATAGAAAGATTTCGAACAACTCATTTTCCACATGCCCTAAAATGTGAGACAATATTACATGACAGATTTTGCCAATATTTCTGTAGTAGGTAAGAGCACAGGGCCGGGGTTGGGGGGGAGGAAGAAAAATCGCAGCTGCACTGGCAAAAGGCTAGTGAGTTACTTGTTCTGTAACTGATTTAAGACAGATTTGGAAAAAAACCCCTCTTGATAACATAAGGTACAAGGAAGATTTACTGGTGTTATTGAAGGTAACTTGACAGTTTCTGGCACAGAAATCATGCTATTTTTCTAGTGCAGGCAAGATCTTGTCATCTTTCTGGTGGAGAGCAGACCAGCGATCCCAAGGCCACCTGTGCAGCGTTACCCTAATGCTGCAGTGTCATGGTGCCACACAGCACCAAAGGAAAAGGCACCGTTAGTACTAAAACATATCAGATGTTCCTGTTCCTGCAGCTGGAAATGGCTTGGTTGGGACTAGCTCTGCAGCCAGCCCTTCCTCCGTACTTGGAAAAGCTTCCTCCACGGACGGTGTGAGCCAGGGGCTTGCAGGGTGAACACTTTCTTGTTCACCCCAGGAATTTACTCTTCTTCTTCAGAAAAGAAGTATCATTTATGACTCCCTAGAACTCTGTAGATGTACCATGAGGTAATGTGATCTCAAACAAAATATGTCATTTATTCTTTCTGGCAGCGCTGGAATCCAGTTGGTGGGTTTTGTGAGAAATTGCTGCCCAGTGACCGCTGGCAGTGGAGTGATGTGAGCGGGCTAAAACACCAGCAGCTTGATAGTTTCACACTGCCTTCACCACACTGGGAGTGGGAGTCTGACTGGTATGTGGATGAAAATATTGGAGGAGAACCAACAGAGAAAGGGGTAGGTGAACAATACCGAAAAGAGATCTATTCTGGGAATGCTTAGTCTGTAAAATAAAAGGCACTTTTATAGAAGTGAAAATGTCTGTAAAAACAAAAGGCGCTTAACTTCCCATAGCTGCTTCTTTCTGGGAAACAGTCTAACTAATACAAGGTAAGGAAGGATCTTGTCTGAAGGCTTTTGAAGTCTATAGGAGCTCCTATAGAAGCTTTTTTCTTTTGATCAGGTCACAAAATGCTGGCAACTGGATGCCATTGTTACTTAAGACCTTTACTATGAAGAAAGTAAAATGTGTCCTGTTTGTTCTATGTATATTATCCAGAGGAATTTGGACATGGTTTGTAAATCATTCATGGAATTAGCTGATCTGTTAATCGGGGCTGTTGAGACATGCACAGTGGCTTGTATTGTATTTGGAGGAGCGACTCTTGTGCAGAATTGCTCTGAGTTATGATTTCAAACTGTCCCTAAGTCCTGATTTTTAACAAAAGAAAACCTCTGTTCGCAGGGCTGGACTTACGCCATAGACTTCCCCAGCACCTACACAAAGGATAAGAAATGGAATTCTTGTGTCAGACGCAGGAGGTGGATCAGATACAGGAGATACAAAGCACGGGACGTTTGGGCAAAGGTTCTGGATATCTTTTAAATCTTGAATAAACTGATTTTCTGAAATAATCAACTATAGGTGCAGGGAAATTGATTTTTTTATCACTGTTCTGGGGGCTGGACCTGGATTTCTTGACTTCCAATTTATAATTCTTGCAAGTATAAATGGAAAGCTGGGATTTTTTTTAGAAACCTGTGGTAATAAGTTGCAAAATCTCCTGGTAATGCAGTTGGAGATAGCTGCTCCGCTCCTTTGCAGATTTCAAACCAACTCTTTAACTTCCTTTGGTGGTTTGACAAAGCACTCTCTTTCGAGGTGGCACCTGTCTAGCATCATTCACCAGCTCTGTTCTTTGTCTGTACGCAGAATTCTTTAGTAATTGTTGTTCCATTCTAAGAATGTATAAAAATTGTAATTTGTGACATTGCAGCTTTTCAGTTCAAAGAGTATCTGTGCGCACAGTTCTGTGAGTAAAAATTTCCTTTAGTTAGGGGATGAAGCACAGACTTGTTCGTGCTGCTTCGGCAGTGTTTCCCCTCTCCCTGCTTATAGCAGCCTGGAACGAGAGGAAGAATCTCTACGCTTGGCCACTTTAGTAAGCAACACGCAAACCAATCTGCAAGAAACAAGCCAGGCCACCAGCCAGATCACCTCTCTGTTCGTGCTGTCTCTTCTCTTCCCAACCATCCTTCTCTTGGCTCCAGATCGTGTCCCAGGATGAGCCAGAGCAGCTGCCAGACCCTTTCAGTGACATCTCCATCGGAGGATGGGAAATCACCGATGAGCCCCCGGGCCGTTTATCCGTGTGGGCGGTTTCTTTACAAGGAAGGGTAAGTGCATGTTTTCTAAGGTAAAGCTTTCTAAGTTTTCTAATATAATTTACTACTGAAAAGGAGGTAAATGCTTGTAAAACAAGGTGGTTTGTGATTGTCTTATGTTGGTAAGGAAAGATGCTGTTTGTGCATCTGGCAGAGGACGTAGAAGCTGCTTTGGGACTACATTACAATAACTTGTGTTGAAAATGGAAAGGCTTAGAATCTCTCTGGGTTGCTGTTTCATGGAAGCCTAAACTTCTATAATCAGGTAAATCTTAAAAACATGGGCTGAGTACTGTCTTATATCCCGAAAAATACCCAGAATACAGACTATGGCACTGGTAGCAAAGAGAAGGGGCCTTAAAACCTGATGAAGAAGAAGATAATACTTTAACAGATGGCCTAAAATTTCAGTCAGCTTGCCTGGAGAGGCAAGCAATCTTGGTTAAATTGCTTAAAATAAAATTCCCTATGCCTCATACTTTCCAGTACTAAGTGACAAGCACCCCGCTCCACAGGCTTATTTTAATGACATTGTAAAATGCTTTCATTTCCCAGGTAAAAGTCCCTAGAGAAATAAAGTATTTCTAAATATGAGGATTTAGCACTGGGCAGTCATGTTTTGGAGCACTTATACAACCACCACGGAATGCTTTCTGTGTTTGACCTTCCTCTTTTGGCTGTGATCTGTAGGGAGGTGCACTGATGGGTAGGACCAAGACTGGCAAATGGACTGGGTGTCACTGCAGGCTGCACAGAAATGGAGTTTTTTACCCATGTTTTAGCAAGCTCTGTTCAGTGAAAGTAAGGGCAGGCTATCAGCTAACAATAACATTTTTGTGTTCTTATTTGTTCATTCTGGGCTTGTATAACATGCCCTGAAATACACCGAAGTGTTTTTTTTAATGTTGAAATATACACAGAACTTGTAGCAATAGGTTACTGTACCCAATCCAGATTCGCTGCCATGAGAAAAGCTGGTCTGTAGAAAAGCCTCCTCCCTTAGTACATAAGGAAATGGTGTTCGGCTGCATAATCAACATCAAAACCATACCTTTAAAGGTCAGGGTGTGTACTCTGCATAAAAAAAATCCTGTTGTTGAAGGAGGACTGTTCTTTCCAGTTTGCCTTTATGCTTGTCTCAATGGTTTCATTGTTGTAGTGGTAATTTTCTAAGTTTGTTGTTGGTTTTTTTTTAAACTTGTGTAGGTATGGTACAGAGAAAATGTCTGCCATCACAATCCAGAAGGTTCAGCGTGGTCTGTAATCGCCACTCCTGGTGAAGTTGTCCAGATCAGCTGTGGGCCATATGACCTCCTGTGGGCAACTCTTTGGGAAGGGCAAGCTATTGTGAGAGAAGGAATTGATAGGAATAACCCTGAAGGTAAAGTTTGTTAAATTTAGCTGGGAGCCCCTTTGATTTGTATCATGTTGAATAACAAACTACCCTACAGTGCTTCTGGGTTTTCTCTCTTGCAGGCATTTCCTGGAGCATTGTGGAGTCTCCAAGCTCTGAGAATGGGATTATGCACGTCTCCGTGGGTGTTGATGTTGTGTGGTGTGTTACAAAAGACAGAAAAGTAAGAGATGTCATGCTCTGCTTCTAGGATTATTTTTTTTTTTCCTCCCTTTGTGTATCAGCTTTTCTTGAACAGGCCTGTAACTTTCCTAGGAAACATTGGTGATTTGGGCTCACTATCCCCATGGCTTGGGCAGTTCCAGTCCCCCTTGCTGTTCTGGGAATACTGTGTGGTTTATGATATGCAAAGTTGCATTTAATTTTAGGGAGACTTTCTGCTTTTTTCTTGAAAGGAATTGTCTAAACCCAAGTCAGACAGAGGTGGGTGGGGATGTAATAAGTGCCCTACTTCCAAGGGATATTGAGCATCGAAATCGAAGGGACTTGTTTCCATGTTGTCTGAAGGTTACACCAAAAGAAGCAAAGGGAATATTTTCATCTTTGCTTTTCTGTGTGATCCTATTTTTTATCTTCCTACTTAACCATTCCCTGTTCATCAGCCATTTAACATAGGGTTTTTTGTATTTATTAAGTGACATATCTGTTATTTGTACATGTGATTACTTTCTTATTGGCGTTTTAACTGAGAATTGTAGAAAAATCTCAAATTGTAAGTGACCCATGAGGAGTTGCAAGGAGTCTTAAAGTCTTGAAGAATGTACTAGAGTGCTCTGGTGCTGGTAGGAGTCAAAGCCCTTCAGCCTGAATTCAGAAACATAGATGGATTCTCTGTATGTGTGGCCGTTTTAAGTAACTGAGTTACTCTGGTTTAATGAGTTACTACTTGTGAGCTGAGCCATGGTAACAGACTGTGTTCAGCCAGCTCCATCTGCCAGACAAACCCACTCTAATAAAAGTAGATAATCTAGCATGGTTTCCTTGAGATCTGCCACAAGATACTCAGGTAACTGTCTGTTACCTGATTTAACCAACAACTTCCGAAGTAGCTGCTTGTCACAATACGGCCACATGCTAAATACAGAATGAAATGTTTCCAGGTACTGAGCTCACAGACACTTTCTGATTGGTAAGAAATAATCCAAGGGGAGACATTTTAAAGAGCTGTACCACTGAAAAGGTCCCTCCGACAGCTCCCTCCATCAGCACTGCTTCCAGGGTCTAAGCACAAGAACACTCTTTAGAAGCCCATTCAGGGTCACCGAAAATAGCCTACAGTTGATATGTAATAGAAAGTATTTTTCCAGTGGCAGAGAAACAAACTCTGTCACAGGAAGTCATAACAAAGTCTCCTTGTGGGCTGTTCCGGCTGTAGTTGGTCACAAGGACACGCAGCATTTTATCTTTACCTGATAAAGAAAAGAACTGAGGAGGATAAGTGGCTTCTTAAGGCAATGTGGCAAATCAGTATTAGAGATAAAGACTAACGCACTGAAGAAACTAAATTGCAGCTGTCTGCCTGCTCATGCAGAAGCAGCAAAATTTAGACTTTCTGTTGTTGTAGGTGTGGTTTAGAAGAGGAGTGAATTCACATAATCCTTGCGGGACAAGCTGGATTGAAATGGTTGGAGAAATGATGATGGTTACTGTAGGCTTAAACAACCAGGTAAGACAGCTGTGCACGGGCTGTGAGGGCGTTGTGTGCCCTGCTGTATGGGCAGTAGTCACGCCTGGCCGGGAGTGCCGGTGCCGACAGCTGAGTGAGAGGTGCCTGTGCTCCAACTGCTGGGAAGGAATGCCTGGCTGAATCCTTCGCCAGAAGAGAACAGTCACCCTGTCTCTTGCATGGCCCAGTCAGGTGAAAACAGTTTTCTCTTAATGGTCTAGAATTTTATACTGCTTCTACAGTACCAGCATTAAGGAAAAAAAAAGGGAAAATGCTGTGTCCAGCAGATTTTTGTGCTGAATTTTCCACTACTGCCCCTTTTTTGTAGCTGGTATCTACCTGCCTTCCATGCCATTTCCTTCACCAAGCCCTTTCCTTCCCTAGGTCTGGGGAATCAGCTGTGATGACAGAGCAATTTATTTTCGGCAAGGTGTCACACCAAGTGAGCTCAGTGGGAAGACGTGGAAGGCAATTGTATCCACCCGAGAGAGTGACAGGTCTCAGAGTGGGAGCTCAACAAGTCTGCTCAGGTATGTAGTAAAATTCCTGCTTGAGACTGTACTCTAAGAGTTTCAATGTTGGAGATACTGCTTTACATTCAAATGGCGGAGCGGGGAAGGCATCTCTAACCATTATCTATGCCAAAAAACATTTGCAGTTTTTGCCATTAAAATTAACAAGCAGCAGCAGTTGCTGCACTGGGAGTACAAACTGAAGCTTCCACTTTGGGACTCACTAAAGGTCTCAGTAAAGCGTGTTTCTCTGGGCTTTACTGTCACTATCTGGATAATAAGAGAAAACACTACCTGTGAAATATGAAGGAGTGTCAGCTCCACTTAGGAATTATCCTTCTCCTGAGTGTCACTGTACGTTCCCCTTCCTAGAGAGATTAAATCAGTAACTCCCTGCTGACTGCTGGCCTCTTGGCTGTGCCAGTGAAGCTGGGAGTGCTGCAGGAGCTACTTGTTTGAGTCAGAGTGCTCTGAGTAGAAGCATTCTCTAGCTATGACAAAAATCAAAGTTAATAAGGGGCTTTAAAAAATCCTATTCATTATTTCATATCCAGAAAATGTGATGTTGCTTCAGAGAGTTGTAGGCAGCCAACACCACCAATTGTTTGAAAAGATCAATGAAACACCTTCCTGTGTTTCAGACTCACTAGGCTGCTCTGCCAGATTTGTGTTAGACTCTCTCCCTTGATGATAGTTTTCCCTTCACAAAAGAAATCTGCTGTTTCTCTCCTAAAGCTGAAACACTGGGTTGATTTCTGTCTATCTGTGCTCTCAGGCCTGTGAGCCTTACAATGCTTTGAACGATAGTTAATTAATTATCTATTTGTCCTTCAGTGCTGGCTGTTTCTTTACTGATGAAATTCAGAACCAAACAAATGCCATCATTCAGGGTGATGCAGATACCTCCTCTGACACAGAGCTCCCCAGCGCAGCCGTGAACCCTGCCAGCGCTGCCGCCGGCGGCGATAACGGCACCGAAACACCTGCCCCTGTGACTCCGGATCCTCTGGACTCTGCTCACGGAGAAGCTGCTGGAGCTTCGACTCGTAATGAGAAAGCTAATCTGGAAATGCATAAATCTACAAACCCAAGTCCTTCTGCAGAACTGCAGTGGACAAACATTGACTTGAAGGAGGCCCAAAAGCATCCAGTCCTGTCCCTCAGCAGCTTTGGGGAAACATCCAGCCTGTCCTCCCTGGGCATGTTCCCGGTGGGAGCCGAGGAGCCGTTCGTCACCGATGAGCACCCACTGTGGGCCTGGGTGTCTGGGGGAGGCTGCCTCGTGGATCTGCACAGCCCGCTGAAGTGGTTCACTGTTCCATCAGGTACTGTCCCCTCGCCACAGCAGACACTGATTCCCAATGCTCTTCAAGAAAAATGTTGGTGTGGGGATTTTTTTGAACAAAACCATGGTGCAAAAGTCCTGATAATCCATTTACTCTTAACTGCAGTTTATTAATACGCTCCATGTCTGGGGATAGTGCTGCATGTATTTAGCTGTAAAGCACTTTGGGATTGAGATATATAAATGTAAAATTTACTCTTGAGTTTCTGTAAGAATTTTTTAAAATAATCTGTGCTGGATCTGCATCTCATTTTAATTGCACTTAACACTTAACTGCAACTTCAGGCAACCCCATCATATCGCTGAATAGTAACTGAAAGCAGTGAAAAGGGCTCTCCTGAGAGATGCAGATGCCACAAATAAGAAGTAACTGCCTCACTCCTTGTTTGTGAATGTGAATGTGAGGCATTGTGAATGTGAGCCCCACTGCTAACTGGATGGCTTGGAATTTAGATCCTTGAAAGACAGTGGAATGTTACCATATTTTCAAAGTAAACCATGAACTGTGACATCCCAGTATTAATAACAGTGTAACTCTTAATGCTCCAGAAGTAACTGCCTCACTCCTACCGTTCCTACCGAGACACGGGTGAGAGAGAGAAGTTACTCGAGGCATTGTGAATGTGAGCCCCACTGCTAACTGGATGGCTTGGAATTTAGATCCTTGAAAGACAGTGGAATGTTACCATATTTTCAAAGTAAACCATGAACTGTGACATCCCAGTATTAATAACAGTGTAACTCTTAATGCTCTTAATGCATTGTATTACCTAATTATCTTGCTTTCCAGTGACAAAAACCCCAACAAAGGTTATAGCTTTGAAAGTTTATATATAATCATTCAGTGATCTCATTTCTATGCATCATTTACAAAGTTTGGCTGTAATACCTTGATTCAAAAGAATAATAATTAGAAAAATTATGTTAGACTGGGTTGATTGTGTCCAGTGTTCAAAGCAGCATCACGTCTTACCTGTCACAGGAGTGTATTCAAAGCTCACTGGAGTTTATTGGTTTGGTTGTGTCCCAGGTTTGTCCTCCTCTGTGCAGTCCCTGTCCCTGCACATCACCCCAGCACAGACGGCCGCGTGGCGAAAGCAGATTTTTCAGCAGCTCAGTGAGAGGACAAAGCGGGAGCTGGAGAATTTTAGGCACTATGAGCAGGCAGTTGAGCAGGTAAGCAGTGAGGGCTCTTGTCTGCTGAACACACCTATCAGTACTGGGCATCAGTGATACATTGCTAGTGTACTCATCTGAACTTACTGTCAGCTTTACATTCTGGCCCTTATTTCTATCTGTGACAACTTTCCTGGATTATCACTGTCTGAGCTCCCTGTGAGAAACAAGCAGCTTATCAGACAGGGAGCAGCAATCTTTAGCTAAAAACGTTAGCTGATGGTTCTGCACAGGAGCAAATGAAGCCTTGGTCAGCATTATTTGAGAACACTAAAACCTCAAATCCGCAGAGAAATGTTTGCAACAGTGGGCGATTGTATGAATTATTCCACCACAAGATGAGGCTGCTTAATTGAGACAGTGACTCAAGTAGGTGAACTTTTCCTCTCTGCGACCACTGAGGGATGAATGTAACTGGCATAAACCAAGCGATGATGCAGACATCAATAGCAGCTTAAATAGCAGCACTTCTGTTTGATGTTCCCTTTGTTATGATTCCTTGGCTCTTTTCAGACTAATTCACATTTTTGGTCCCTTCAGATGTCATTTGGCAATTAGCAATGGAATTCATTTGGTTAAAAACACTTGGAGTCCAGGGGTTTAATCACATTTTAAAAGATAATGTCAAAAACCATGAAAGTCCAAACAGAAATGGCATGATAACAAGGAGCACACTGGAGTCAGTTCGTGTCTGTGTGCTGCTGTATTCTTGCAGAGGTAGAACTGATGTGCACATGCTATTTCAGTGCCTTTCTGTCCAGTTCTGTCAGTTTTCATTTTGCCTCCAGCTCCCTGAGCGCTCTGATACACTCTGTGTCAGGAGTAGGTAGCTGGTACCATACAGACTAACCTGCAGCAGAGATTTCTTCTGGTCGCAAAAAATAGCATTTGGGAGAAAGAAGAATCGTCTCAGTTTCCTTACCCCTGTAAATTTGGAGTCGTCTCAGTTTCCTTACCCCTGTAAATTTGTGTTTGCATTGCAGTCGGTTTGGGTTAAAACTGGGACCTTGCAATGGTGGAGGAACTGGAAGCCTTATAAATGGATGGACGTTCGTGTCGCACTGGAGCAGTTCACCGGGAGCGACGGAATGCGCGACAGCATCCTCTTCATCTATTACATGTATCACGAGGAGAAAAAGGTGTGTTCAGCTGGAGACCCTTGAGAGTGTTGCATTTGGCAAAGGAAAGCTCAAGGGGAAACAGTTTTATTAAGGGAGGCAAATTATGGTACACTAGTGTTGTGAGTTTTGGGAACCAATGCAAAGGTAGCTCAGGGTACTAGCAAACTGTGAGCTTTTCTAAGCTGGAGCTGAGCTGACACTATGTCAGAAATCCTCAGTCAGCAACCACCCACATTGCTTAAACCAGCAGCTTTGCACCAAGGAGGAATTCTTTTGGAAATTCAAAATGTTCTCAATTATCAAGAAAGAGCCAAGCTTGGCTGCCAGAGTCTTCATAAATAGGGTTAATGCTCATGGGCAGTTTGAACCAGAGGGAGCTCAGGACTGGAAACTGAGCCCTGGTCCTTCTGCACCCAGAACTGACTCTGCTCTCCATGGCAGGAACACCTTGTTCATAGTCCTGAAGTGCAAAAACGCTGGCACTGAGGAGGAGGGTATATCTATATTTGCTGTAATCATATTTTTCTCTTGTTTCAGTATATCCATGTGTTCCTGAATGAAGTCACTATTATAGTTGAAGTTCTGAATGAGGCCAAACACTCCTTTGCACTCTATACCCCTGAGAGGACGAAGCAGCGGTGGCCGATCCGTCTGGCAGCCGCAACAGAGCAAGAAATGCACGACTGGGTAATTCTGTGGATTTTTCATTTCAAGCTGGCAATATATGAAATACAACATATAAGCTGGTCTCTGAGATCTCAGCATTACAGTCACAGTATCTAGACTGCTTAGCTATTTTCACAATTTAGGTATTTAAAAAGTCTGTTTAAACTTATTTAGAGGCACCTGCGTCTTCCCGTCTCCTCTGGAGTTTGCATGCTTTCTGATGCTGCAGTTATCCACAGTAAAACCAATAGTGGTTTTCCTTCCCCTCTGGATGCAGATTAGGCTAAAATGAGTTAGGAGTATAATTCAGTTACTCTGTTCTTCTGAACAATTCTTCATAATGCTCAGAGACCGCAAACCACACTGGTTCTAGGGATTGTGTTAGTAATTTCTAAAACACTGAATTCCAGTGCCTTTAAGACAAAGCTGCTGATTCACTTTGCTGATTTGCAAGAACCTGCAAAGGTAAAACTTTGGTTTGTGGTACTGAAGCATCTACAGAAATGTCTGTTCTCAGTGTAAACAGGAGCTTCTGGTTCTCTGCTCCTTGTTCCGTAGCTGTCTCTGCTGAACATGTCCTGCTGTGAAAGCAGACGGATCCAGGGCCCTCCTTCTCACCACGCCATTTGGTCGGTGACTTGCAAAGGAGACATCTTTGTGAGCGAGCCGTGTCCTGAGCTGGAGAACGGGCCCCACCTGATGCCGTGTGATCAAATGTGAGAGGCTTCAGAAGCTGCTCCTGCTGCGCGGGGTCACCTCCAGCCGGGGCTGTCCCTATGGCATGGCAGAGGCTCCGGTGGGCTGTCGGGGTGTACGGTGCACCGTGGGTGTCTGTTGGTGACAAGGTTAATGGCTGCCTTCACAGTCATAAGTACATCTGAAGAAATTCACCAAATTGTATTTAATTGTTAGCTGCTAGAGCTACTCATGTGATTTCAAAAGCCTTTCTTGTTGAGAAAGGGCTCGTTGAGCCCGACTTCTTGTGATTATATCTTTAATGCCACAATTATTTAAATTAAGAGATGGCCTAGACTGAAAGTAATCCTAATCACTGTAATTGTAGTGTAATTTGAGCTTTCAGTTTTCTCCGAGTCAGGAAATGTGAAATTCTCAGTCCCCCAAAGTCATCCCAGTCCAGGAGCAGCCCCTTTGCAGTTCCTGTTACACCTGTGACAACACCATATACGGTTCCATGTCCTTGAGGTTGTTGGGTTGTAGGGGGTGAAAGCGTACGTTCCTGATGGATGTGCTGTGGAGTAAGTGTTAAATGTCCTTTTTGTGGCAGGTTTTGGCGTCAGGTTGGAGGTCATCTCCGGCTGATCGAGAGCAATGCCCGCAGCGTGGTGTGGGGCGTAGGCTACGATCACACCGCATGGGTGTACACCGGCGGGTACGGCGGGGGCTTCACCCAAGGTATGGGTGGCCGTGCCGTGCCGTACCGTGCCGTGCTGTGCCGTGCTGTGCTGTGCCGTGCCGTGCTGTGCTGTGCCGTGCTGTGCCGTGCTGTGCCTGTCTCACCCCTCTTCCCCACCGGGTCAGTCCTCAGGCTGCTGCAGCTCTGCTCCCCTCAGCCAGCGACCCCGCCACGCATTAGGAAGGAATCCCTATTGCAGTTTATATTTATATTTTCAGCGTAAGAGTGAGAAGTAGTATAATCAGCACTATTACTGTGGCTATTGGAATCTAAAATTTCAAAGTGTCCTTATGGTTTAGCTTTACTATAATCCACATCATTTCTTTCTGACAGGACTGGCCAGTAGTGCTGATAACATTTATACACAGTCTGATGTGAAATGTGTTTACATCTATGAGAACCAGCGGTGGAACCCGGTCACTGGATACAGCAGCAGGTTAGTTACTCCATTTGTTGTGTTTACTTACTGTGGTTTTTTACTACTGTCAAATGAAACGAGGGGTTTGTTCTAGCTTTTCAGAACAGTTGCAGTTATTCTGTCTTCAGTCTCCTCCAACATTTGCTGTTAACCTGAGATGGAAGGAGCAGTGTCTCTCCATTCTGTAGATTTGTAATTATCCATTCAAAATGCATCTGTAGCAAAGCATCACAGATTTGTGCTTCGTGAGTGCACAAAGTGTGCCTGCTTGCAGCATCTTTTGTTATTAGGGCCACACAGCAAAGTTGTCAATAGGATCTACATCTTCTATACTATTGTGCTAAATACACTGGGTCCTTGAATAGCGTATTTGAACAGAGGTATTGAAAAGGCATTGACATATCCAGGTGTCTGTGCCAGAGGAACTCGGGATTCACCTCCCAAGTTCAAATACTAGTGAGGAATATCACGCTGCAGACAGAACTTCACATGGTCCTCAGGTTTGGTGTAACTGGGAGCAAATTGTACCAATTCTTTCCCCCTGTCCTCATCACTCACATGGTATTTCTAAATGCAGAGATTGATGATGGAGACTGTTTCTGTATGAAAGTAGGAAGTGCTACAAACAGGCTTTTCTGCCCAGGCCTTCTCACTGCTCTGTTGAAGTGACCCTGTGTTCTCTGCACACTGTTCCACCCCAGAGGCCTCCCCACCGACCGCTACATGTGGAGCGACGCGTCGGGCCTGCAGGAATGTACAAAAGCTAACACCAAGCCTCCTTCTCCGCAGTGGACCTGGGTAAATTTTGGCTTAAAAGTCTTTTATCTAAGAAGGCAAAGCTTAACAAGTGGGATACGAGATTTGGGCTCAAGTGACCCAGATTTTCTTCCTGGATTTGTTGTAACATTTCACCTTGGTTTCCCCATTTATACAATAGCAATAATCTTACCTAGTCAAAGGAATGTTAAGCACTGAGTGGGGCTTTATGTTTAATGGGACTTAGACTTCTGTTCTGGTCCTTTTCAACTGAGTTAAAAAGGCTTGGAAGCCTCAGTATGAATTGATATTGCAAGTACTAGAAGGTCTCTGGCAAGTTTCTGCACTCCAAAAGCTGGAGGAGGTTATTTTTATTTTACAGTAGGTGCTGAGTGTGGTTGTTACTGTCTCCCTGTGACAACAGGTGTCCGACTGGTACATCGATTTCAATGCCTTGGGTGGAACCGACCGGGAGGGCTGGCAGTACGCAGCGGACTTCCCAGCGTAAGGATGGGCCTTCTGCATCAATACCAGCAGGGAAACCCCGTGCTTAGGCCCTCATTTCTCCTTGTTCCCTGATTTGCATGTTAACTGTGCTCTGGCAGGGAAGGCATGCCCCGATGTCTCCCCTCCCCTGGGGACAGTAGCAGTGACATTTGCAGGAGGCTGGGCAGCACAGTGAGACTGGCAAACTGTAGTGTCAGGCATGGGCAGGTACATGGGCAGGGCTTTTGGGCTCATCAGCACTTACTTCTGTTTTGGCAGGTCCTACCATGGTCACAAGACAATGAAAGACTTTGTCCGACGGAGGCGCTGGGCGAGGTGAGGAACTAAGATATAATAGGATACAAAAGTTTTGAATTTGAATGTTAAGTGTTCCCTAGAAATCTCCTTTAGTCATGAGGGCAGGAGTCTCGTGACCCAACAACAAAAGCACTAGTGAAGAACCCTGCAGTGACTAACCCACCTGCAGTAGAGAGGAGGGTGGGTCTCAGCCTCAGGCTTTAATTTGCAGCAGGTGCCCTGTTTGGTTCTGGGGGTGCTGCAGGTAAGTCAGCTACTTACTCTCTGCATCTGATTTTCCTTATGGTAAGTGATTAAGGAGCAGTAGGTGTATCAGTACATACTAGGTCACTTTTAACAACTGCTAATATGTTTTGTATATTAATAGTTTTAACATATTAATTCCACATGCTGTGTACGAGGCCCCAGATAATCCCAGCCCTGTTTCAGTCACAGAACACAGTGTGCAGGTGGAACTGGGGAGTAGCAAACTGCCACTCTTCTGTTCTAGGAAGCAGGGAAGGTCTGTGCATTCACTGGTTTTCCAGCTTTTCTATGGTTTCTGTACTAGAGTATCTAACAGCTGGGCTACCAAATTGCTATGAGCTTACAGTTCTGCTTTGTTCTGTTTGTTACTGAGCTACAAAGCCAGCATTTGGGCCCTTGAACAAGAATCTTCGAAGCAAGGTCCTGAAGCATCAAACTATTGTTGTCCCAGGATGTGCAACAAAAGGAACGACATCGAAATGGTGACTTGAAAGAAAATCAGCAACTTGACAATTACCCTCAAGCCTAAACATTTCCTCTTGTTTTTACTGTCAGTTGGAAATTGAAAACAAATAGGGAACAGCTCAGGGCTGGCCTTGGTTGCACAAAGTAACTTTTTTTAAGAACAGAAGTTTTGAGGAATCAATAATATATCAAAATTGAAAACCTGATGCAAACCGTGACTGATTGCTGTAAACGCCTTTCAAATTAAAGATACTAGTACTTATTGTACCTGCTTAATGAAAAGATTTCAGGACTGTTTGTGCTGAAGTCAGCAACAGAGCAGGAAACAAAATTTGGTTGTAGAAAGTACATATTTCTGACAGCTTTGGTTTGTTTTTTTTTGTTTCAGAAAATGTAAGATAGTCACCAACGGGCCGTGGCTGGAAGTGCCTCCTGTTGCTCTGTGGGACATCTCCATCATTCCCAGCCCGAGGGCAGCCGGCGCGGAGGCGGTCGCGCTCTGGGCCATCAGCGACAAGGGGGACGTGCTGTGCCGGCTGGGCGTGACGCCGCAGCACCCCGCCGTAAGCTCCCTCCGCTTGTACCCGGTGTTGATGTGTTAGTGCAGTGGTGCAGGTACAAACGCACCATCGAGCAGCACCTTCTCGTACAGCACCTTTTTTTTCCCCCTTTTATGCCCCAGGTTTGAAAGTCCTGGTCCACCAGCCGTAGCCCATTTTGCTGTTCTTAAACAGCACTTCTCCGGCACAGTCCCCCTTGGCTTGTGCCACCGCTCTCGCAGGAGCCTCTCCTGGCCCCTCTGTGTCTGCTCCTGAAGCGTTTTACTTCAGCTTGCTACACTCATCACTTATTTCCACCTTTTTTTTTTTCTTTTTTTTTTTAATTGTTGATAGTGTGCGTATCGCATTTAAATAAACTGCCCAGGGGTAGAATTTCTCTGAAGTGTGGTCCCAACCAAATGCCTGTTAATATCACAGGAGTTTGTCCTTTTTTCTGGGCCTGGAGATGACTCTACTTATTTAAAAGACGGGTGGGTCTGGACGTACCCGCAGAATTGACTTTTTTCTACGGACTGGGACAGATTTATTGAGTGAACATCCACTGAAGTGTGCAGAAAGGAACAAATGGTCCCGGTAACTTCAGTAGTGATACTTCTTTCCTCATAATTGACAGTGCTGAAACACCAAATTAGGGATGATACGCATTAATTATAAGCCATATCTATAACAGGGGAAAAAGCCACTATTAATGTACTTTAATGGAATTTGGAGGAAAACTGCAAGAAGCTGAATATCTATATGAATTTTTTTTCCTTCCTGCTCAGTCAGTTACAGTAGCACAGAGCCGTACGGCAGCGCAGCAGCACGGACTGGAGCGCTGGGTCTGGAATCTGGAGCCCTGTATCAGGCAATTTTTGTGAAACTTGTTCTGTGTAATCAAAAAAGAGGTTATTTTAAAAAAAAGCACAAGAACCAAACCCGAAAGGGCTGTAGCTGAGCTATTCAGAGATGTATAGGTGCCTAAATTCCAGCAATTTAAACAGAAAGGCCCTGTTAGAGTCCAGCTGTTACACAGCTGTTGGTTTCAAGGAGTTAAACAGCCACAGAGCCTTGAGGATCAGAGACCTGGCTTCTGTCCAGTCACAACGTACAGGAATTAGTGTTCAGAATATTTTGCACTATCTAGAGCTTTTCCCATTTGGCAATAATCAAGAATACTTTGTTGTGGAGTGTTTAACCACTGCTTCCTAATTCATCTTCTGTGTTTTATCAGGGAACATCCTGGCTTCACGTGGGCACGGATCAGCCCTTCATCTCCGTCTCCATCGGAGCGTGTTACCAAGTGTGGGCGATTGCCAGGGACGGCTCTGCCTTCTACCGCGGCTCGGTGTCACCGCAGAAGCCGGCGGGTGAGTGTTTGGGTCTCACCTCACCCAGGAGTGAGCTGGGCTACGCTGCTGCCTCCGGCACGGCAGAGCGTTTGGCAGAGGCCTGTCCCCTAACTCTGTGAACCAGTATCACAGCAGTTAATTTGCTCATCCCTTGCGTGATTTAAAGAGTCTGTTTCCAAAAACCAGTAAAAATACACTGAGCGTAATGTCATCCCAGCTTTCTTGCCCAGCTGCAGTGTTTCAACTCAGACATTGCTGAGAATTCTCCCACATGGTTCTGTTTTCTCAGGGTTTGACTCAAGTATTTCTGACCTTTAGGTGACTGTTGGTACCATATTCCTTCACCTCAAAAACAGAAGTTAAAACAAGTCTCAGTAGGACGAACATCCGTGTTTGTGTTGGATAAGAATGGTAAGAATTTTTAAAAATTATTTATCAATGCTACCAAAAAGAAATGAGTAGTCATCAGGGTGATCTAAAAAGGAGAGGTGGAGTCAGAGCTCCTGCCTGGAGAGAGGGTCGCTGTTGCTCCAAGAGGGGTGACAGTGAGGGGGTGAGTAGGCAGCCCCATTATTGCTGACCTGGGGGTTGTTATATCTGACAGTGCCCCAGGCAGCAACAACCCAGCATCTGTGTGTTCCTGGGGGAAGAGAGAGACAAATCCCAGGGACCTGCATGGCGGGGTGTTGTCTGAGCCCCTAGAACAGGCACAACTCCAGAGGAATATCTTCTGTTGTAAAACCTAGAAATGGCACTGTCATTGCAGGATAAATGACAACACATCCTTTTGTGAAAGAAACAAGCCTTGACCATCAGTCTCCTCCAGAGACCTTCATCTCATCTGCTTTATTTCTCTAGTACATAGTGGTTTATGTCAATGCTTTTCCCCAAGAAATTTTACAAAACAGAGTATTTGCTGTTTTCTAGAAAAGTTACAAAGAGTGACTACAGAAAAAGCAGGTACTTCACTGTCCTCACTGTAACACACTAGTCAAACCCTACCACGTTTCCAGAGAAGGCACAGTATTACCTCTGGGTTTTGCTGTGTGCCAGCACCTCCCCCAAAGCCACTGCCCTGGCTGTGAGGGGGACTGTTTGTTTGCAGGGAACCTGTGGTACCGACAGGGCATCACCCCCAGCTACCCCCAGGGAGCCGCCTGGGAACACGTCTCAAACAACATCCGAAAAATGTCCGTGGGGCCCCTGGACCAGGTAGGACCCAGCTTCCTTGGATCGTTAGTTTATTAAAGATTACACTTAACATACTTTTGTAATTAAATTAAATGTTCTTCAGAGTTATTTTTGTTTAACTAACCTCATTCCATAAGGCGATTGTCTGAAGAATTGTGATAGCAAGACAGACACGATGCCAATGGAAGGGGGACACAGCCAGCCCTGTGCTGGAAAAAGCCTCATTGATCTTTTTCCCGTTTTTTTAATGAGGCTTATTTATATATTTAATCTCTTTCCTGCCCAGTCTTGCTACCTGGCAATGTTTTAATTCTAACACTGCTATCTGGTTGGTTAGTTGGGTGTCTCTCTGACTAAATCAGAGCAGTTTGGGCCTATTCAAGACCAAGACTAGTTTCTGAAGGAGGTCAAACAGACGGGTCGTTTTTGAGGTGTGGCAGAGCCACACGAAGAGCAGGTTTTATTGTCCCCTCTGCTTCCCTGAGGTCTGGGTGATCGCTGACAAAGTGCAAGGGAGTCACAGCCTGAGCTGCGGGACTGTCTGCCACCGGACGGGGGTTCAGCCCATGGAACCCAAAGGCCTCTCCTGGGACTACGGTATCGGGGTGAGTGTGTGTGGGGGGACAGGACCAGCGGGGGCTGGGGGTGCGGGTCCCTGGGAGCTGGGTGTTGGGTCCCCCTGGACACGCCGGGCCGGGAGCGTGTCGTCCTGCTGGTGGCTTCCCAAAGCGTGCACGTACCTGCGGGAAACTGACCTTTAGTCTTGGTTTAGGTTCCTTTTTCAAGTTATTATTGTGGGTGATGCAGTTAGAGCTAGGAAGTCATTTATTTGCACTTGATAAATATTCATTTAAAATAGGTAATTTTAAAGTTATGATGGAAAAATCAGTAAAGAAAGTACCATTTTTAAAAAATTGGCTCCTCCTGGCTCTGCAATGATTGTTCCTCATTGTTTCTCCCCGTTTTACCCTTAATGGTTTGAGAAAGGTTATTTCAAGGGTTTGGTCCCTTTTAAGTTGCTGTTACAAACACCTGACCCATCTCATCTTTCCAACCCCTCGCCAGGGCGGGTGGGAGCACATCACCGTCAGAGGAAACGCGACGGAGGCGTCGAGGGCTGCGCACGACACACCCGAGGAGCAGCCTGTGGGACCAGAGGAGTTGGACAATAAGGAGGGTAAAGGGAGAAGAGAGAGCTCAAAAACCCCTCTGACGGTCAGTGAAAGTCAGGAATTGGACAGAAATGCTGTTAACTGTTAAATTGTTGCCACCTACATGTTGCAGACAAGCAGTAGTCAGGATAATTTAAAAAGAAACTAAACTTCTATTGTCTGGAGAGAAAAACAACCTTTTTCTGCTACTAATATATTTTACTGACCTGGAATTTGCAATGGAGTATTTTAAATACTGATTTCATCTGCTACATCACCTGTAAAATGTGACCTGATAAAGCTAATCATTTTGTCAAAGCAGGCAAGCTTTGCAGCCCCAAGGAGTTCCTGACCCGTCCCAGCAGCTGCTGCTCAGCCCCAGCACGGGCAGTCTCTGCCCGTGGGCACATTCCCTGTGCTAGTGAGGAGCGCAGGGCCCTTCCCCCACGGCTCTCCCGCTCACACGCCTCGCACACGCGTGTCTGAGCAGAGGGAAATGTCAGAGCGGAATTAGGGGCAGGTCCAGGGATCAGGGCAGAGCATTTGTACCTGCACAGGCCTCTGCTCAGGTGAGCCCCACACACAGCCAGGTCTCGCTCCATCACCAAAATTAACCTCTCTGCACCTCAGCTTGGGGCCAATTTTTGCTGTCTTTGCTCACAGTAACAACTCAGTCAAGAAGTGGAACCACTGGTTTCAGCGAGACTGTTGGGGAGCACGGGCCTGTTCAGGCCAAGTGACAAAGTCTCTCTCAGTTGTCAGTCCCAAGGGTGGTAGATCCTGGTTTGTCTCCATCTGAGCTGGAGCCCTGGCAGGGGAGGTGCAGGGATGCGGCTGCGCAGCGAGGAGCGGGGCTGAGACCGGGCCACTGCAAACTCTGCTTCAGCCTGGGGTCCCGGGGTGCAGAAGGACCCCCCTCACTGATGGCAGTGGTGTTACCAACATGGGCCCAACAACGCGCTGCTCTTTGGGTTTAGTCAGTGATTGATTCATCCCTCGTCAACCAGAAACCATTTTCTGTTCTCAAAAGCAGCTTTTTCCCTGTCTGACCATAATTTGGCTGTGATGTGACTGAACCCCCGTCCCCGGGCAGCGCTGACCCCTCCCCGGGAGGGTGAGGGTGAGGGAGGCGCCGTGTCTCCCCGGCAGCGGTTCACAATCAGGTTCCCTCTGTGTGTGACTGTAGCTGCAGTTATTTTTCTGCGATGCGCAGCGTGGTGTGGTCTCAGTACTGTACTTGTAGAAGTAAAACGTTTGCACGTATTTAAAGAATATATTTGGTATTTTAATGCCAAGGAAAGCACTGTTTCTAAGTCAAAATGTGAATGAAGAGTCGATGCTTTACTGGTTAAAAATGTGATCAGAGATTCCTGGTATGTCCATGCGTTGTGGGAGCACCATGAAGAACGTTTGCATTAATTACTGTAATAGGTTTTGCAGAACTTGCACAGTATCTTGTCCAAATAAGTAACTTTACGACATGTATTTCTAGAGAATTATTAGGATTGTATTTTTTCTGCATCGTAACAGAAATATTTGTTTAATAGTCAGTGTTTACATCTCCAACAATCAGCCCTGTTTCATAAAATAAGGTTTAATAATGTACCTTTGCATTTTTCCCTGCATTGCCAAGTTCCACTTCACTGTATAAAGCTGGGTTTAAGTGAACAAAACCTAAATGATAAATTGTTCCTGTTTGAGTACTTTGCCTTCTGCAACTATTATTTAGAAAATAATTTAAAAATACAATGTCATTGCTATGGCTGATTAAAATAAGGAAAAGTTACTTTGAATTGAAACAATTTTGAAAAAATAAAAGTAAATTATCCCTTTTGATGTGTCCAATAAAGCAGCATTTTGTAGCAAGGTACCGGTTTGGAACTAGCAGTTGTCATTGCACTGAAACACCCCTCTCCTGCCTCTGACTGGTCATCAGAGCTCCAAGCCCCCTCCAGCCTGGCCTTGAACCCCTCAGGGATGGGGCAGCCACAGCTTCTCTGGGCAACCTGGGCCAGGCTCTCACACCCTCACACCAAAGCAGCTCTTCCTGATACCTCGTCTCAGTCTCCCCTCTTTCAGTGCCAAACCCTTCCTCCCCATTACCCAAACACCAACCCCTCGGTGTTACTGATTTCCCCCGTTACAGCCAGACAACACATACCTGCATCAAGGGCTTCACCACTGAGGAGCAGCTGTTGAGTGAAGATACAATGTTATTAGGGCAAGTCAAACCTCTGCGAGTGTAGGAGACACCCTCACTGACACCCGAGCACTAGAAAGGCTGCTCACAACTATTTTAAGCATGAAAACTGAGAAAATCCCAACTTGCAGCAGGATCCAAGATGGAGGAAAAAAAGATCATTTTTATTTTTGAAAAGTTCCTGCTTCATTTATTGTGTTTGTAAAACCAGAATCTAGCACTAACCCAGAAAGAGCCCTGATCACATGACAGCTTCATTAGCAAATACTTTGTAATCGCACAGATCATCGGCTAACTTATCCCTATACTAAAGCATTTTTAGTGTAATTTTGGCAAAAATAAGTGCTTTGTCCCTTATTTGTGTTACACCGGCACCCAGAGACACACAAAGGTAAAGCTCAGCCCTCGCTCCAGAGAGCTCACAGTCTGACCGCGCTGTAGGAGACACAGGTGTCTGTGCTTTGCGAGGGTCAAAATCATCAACCAGAGCAGATCCAGAACTCTCAAGATGAATATTCTGATTTGGTGGCCAATTTCCCATATGTGCCACTTTGCTCATCAAATTAGTCAAATTTTGTCACCAACCGTAATGTCCCCCAGCAGCAGAGGTGAGAACAGTCACCGACCCAGGAGCAGGTCCAGCCAGACCCTCAGTGATCCCGGTGACACCACCTGGAACGCTCAGCTCCCAGCCCTTCCAGGGAGGGGGATGTGCACAGGTTTCTAAATCTTCACTCCCAACTCCATGTCACGGGATCGGGTTCCAACTCTGACACATCACGCAAATATATCCATTAAGCTCTGAAAAATTCTTATCATTTAAGGTTATTTTTAATGTGCTGTACAAGCTACAGTCATGAGTGTTACCTGTTTGTCTTTTTAAGAAAAAATAGGGGGTAGCTGGAGGCAAAACCAATGTCTGAAAACCTCTGTACTGACAGGAATTGCCATGCAAGAAGGCGCAAGAGGGATGGCAGCAGGTACCCGTAGGTGTTTGGGCTGAAGCCATGAACCTACACGGAGCATTTCTGTAGATGCTCCTCAGGATCTTCCTCCCCAGGTTGCTGTTGATAATGGTACAGTTTGGGCCCCCGGGCTGCCCCCATCCCTTCTGTGGATGGAAAGTGTCCGTTGGACATATTGAGTATAATGGAAGTCAAGGATTTAATGTAGTTTTTGGCCAGTGTGAGAGTCTCTATTTTGGAGAGTTTATTCTCAGCTCTGACGTGAGGGATCACCTCCCGCAGGGCCTGGAAGGCGTTGTTGAGCTTGTGCATCCTCTGCCTCTCCCGCTCGTTGCTCTCCAGCCTCCTCAGACGCCGCTCCTTGTTGCTCCAAGGGTGCTTGGCTCCAGCTGCAGAGACCTTGCCACTCTCCTTGTCCCCCCCGCTCCTCCTCTCCTTGTGCCGCAAACGTTTCACCAGCTCTTTCTTTCTCGTTGCTGACTCCTCAGGAAATGCTTCTCTCTCAGCAGCACGCCTTTGCTTCTTCCCTTTGCTTTTGGTCTTCATGTTTTGGCAGACGTAGGGTGTTAAGCATCCAGGTGCTGTAAAAACACGACACCGGTACCTTTAGCCTTCACACAGCTCCACACTGAGCAGATGACCTGGTGCAGGTTGGTTTGATGTGATCCCTCACTTGTCCACTACTGGAAAACAGCCATTTGTGCTCTTAATTCAGTGATGTTTGGCTTAGAAGTTGAGAATGTTGTTAGTCAAGACGATCTGCACAGATGAACAGAGGAAAAAATCCCTTTTTAGAGAACAACAGACCCTCCTTTAGCTGTAGGAAGAGGAGACGGGGGGAGCAGAGGCCACATGACCGCAGTGAAGCACCCTCTGGTGTCCTCTCCCGTGGGAAGCCAAGTGAAAGGCAGAGCCCTCTCTGCTGGCAGTAAGCAGGGTCGGGCTGGGGAGATTCCTCCTCTTACAGCACATCAGAAAATGGTCTCCCAGCTGATCCAGCCTTCCCAGGGGAAAAGTGAACCACAACCCAAAAATATGAGTACAATGGACAACCAGGTTTGGTAAGACACTCCCTCTGGTTCTGATCTCCCACCCTTCTGCTTTCTCCCTGCTCTCGTTACCACAAGTTACAATGGAATCACACACCCCCTCACTGCACGTATGCAGACTTGGGGGGTAACAGACAGAACCCCCAGGCTCTTACTCAAAGTAATTTCTCCTCAAGCTCCTGGCCATTGCTTTTTGCAGGAACAGATGTGCACCGTGAGCAGTCACCAGAGGGAACCATGACACTGCTTGGTGCAGGGGCTCAGAAACTCCTGAGGGTTTCACCCACAGCATCTCCGCGCTCCGGGCCACACTCACACCGGCGTTTCCCTCTTCCAGCAGCAACCAAATAACGGTGGGGCTTCACCGCGGTGCCTGCCCCAGCTCACGAGCAGCAGAGCTGGACTGAGTGCCCGGGTTATCCGAGGACAGAGCAGTGTTCCCTGCTCACCCTCAGCCAGGTGGACAGCAGCACTGAGGTTTCACCCACAGCACAGCTGGAACCAGCGGGGTCACAGCACCCCTGCTCCAACACCCACCTCAGCGTTACTGACACCCTCCCCAAAGTGCCTCCTCCCACCTTCCTCCAGCCCATGTAGTCATAGAGAGGTTCAGTCTTAAAAAAAACAAACATATTTTTTGGCTCATGCTATTACGTAGGAGCAGTTGGAGAGCTGGTGAGCCACTGACAAACCCCAAACCACCCCACCACGGGTGCCCGAGTGGGAGCTGGTGGCCAGCAGCCCTGAGAGCTGCCAAAAACATCGTGTCCTCTCTCACTTCTTCAGACACCACTTTGGCTGCTGGGCACTCGGGGAGACTTGGCTCCCCGCCTGCAAGGGCATCCTGGCCACCCCTTGGCAGCAGGGAGGCAGCTTTGCCAAGAGCAGAGGAGCTCACAGAGCAGCTGGGGCAGGGGGGCACCCAGGGGAAGGAGAGCACCCGCTGCGTGTGCTGAGGAGCTGGGAAGGGACGCCAGAGACACGGGGGGTTCTTCAGCAAGAGAAGAGAACTAGAGCCAAGCACTGGGTCTGCTCTGGACCAGTCCAACCCAGTGGGCAGAAAGGACAGAAAAGTAAAGGTGGGCACAGAGGAGACCAGTCACCATCCCCCTCCAGCACAAAGCGCGGTGGGCAGAGCAGAGAAAGGAGCAGCCGTGTCTGAGCAGGAAAGAGCCCCAGGACTTGGTGAGAAGCTGAAAGAAGAGTCCAAGAGAAAAGAAGCCTCACTCAGCACGTGGTGGGAGCAGAGAGTCCATAAAACTGCAGCCTAAGGGAGAGCCAAGGGGAGGAGGTGGGTCAGAGGGTGCTGAGCTGGCCGAGCTTTGCTTTCAGACCCCTGCACGCCCTGTGCCCCCCCGAAACCACCTCCTGGGGCCACAGCCGGGCTGCCCAGCCCCAGGGAGAGGGCAGGGCTGCCAGGGGGAAGCGATGGAGAGGGGAGCAGGAGCAACAGCGCGGGCTGCTCAGCAGGGACAGAGCGAGCGAGCAGAGGAGATCCCACCCTCGGCACCCCCCCTGGGGCTGCAGTCCCTCCCCGGCACTTACCGCCGCCACCACCCGCCGAGAGGCGCCTGCGGCCCGGGGGGGGATGGGAGCGCCGCGGGCACCGCCTGCCCTCGGGCCGGCTCCGGCCGCAGCAGCGGGCAGGGACCGGGCAGGGACCGGCCACGTCGCCTTAG